AAGAAACTTTATTGTACTTGTAAATACTTCAGATGTATCTAATGGATAAGGGCATTAAAAAAATAACAGTCATGGATTATTATACTTTGCAAAATTAATAGGAATTTCTAACATTATTTAAAACTCAGTTTGTATTCACATGTCCTCCAATTGTCTCAAAGATGTTTTTCCAAAGATGTTGGTGTGTTTGAATCAGAATCTAAACAAGGTCCAGGGAGCTCTCTGAACCTCTTCTGTTTCTGAGGGTTGCCCATAAAATAAATAAATAAATAAACAGATTGTAAGCAAATAAATAAGCAAGCAAGCAAGCAGGCAGGCAAACAAACATCCACATATTACACATTTGATTGTTTGGCCACTTAAGTATCTCTTATAAACAGCCTCACCTCTTTAATCCCTTCCCCACATGTTTTACTTCTTCCAATCCATCAAAATTTTGGCATGTAGAATTTGGCTGATTGCCAATTTAACTTTTTCCTCTATCTCTTCCCTCCTCCCTGTTTTTTTCATATAAACCGATACTAAGATACAAATGTTTGATGATGAAAAAATACTTCATACTTGGTGCTGATAACACCAAAGTCTGAGGTTCAGTCTCTGAACCAGCCAGCAAAAAAAAAAAAAAAAGAAGAAAGAGAGAAAGAAAAAATACTTCATAGATAAGGCTTTATGCTCTGTTTTGCTATAACATGAGCCATATTGTCTATTTTTAGTGATACTAAGATTAATCAGTAGGTTTAGGTTTTATCAGCCTGAATGCCTCTATAAAAAAGTTCCCCATTAATTTTTGATGTAAGGATTTTAACATTAATTAATGCTCATTGCCTAAGTCTATTATTTCACTACAGATGATAAAATAGCAATTTTCTAATTTTATTATTTTTTCTGTGTTTATTAGTTGACATTTTAAAACAAACAAAACTCTTCATAAAAATTTGGCTACCCTGAAAAAGCAGTTCATAAAGAATAGGCATGATAAATACTTGAATATTTCCCTGTACTTATCTTTTGTCAGAATATAGTTTTTGTGCCCTGGCAACCTCCAGTGAAATTCTTTTTTTGTATCATTTTGACCACTTAAATTTTGATAAATTTGATAAATCACTACTTTTTATTGCTGAAATCGTGCCATCTTAAACCAGTAGGAGTCCCTTCAAGTTGGTACTTGTGACTATTGACATGATCCCATTAGCTTTTTTATAAATTCTGTCCTTTCTGACATGACAAGATGTCCTAGGCTAATCTTTAACATTTCCTACCCCTAACCCAGAATCAGCAATTTCTTCAAGGACCCCTGGCACTGGTTCCTTTGAGCCCAGATTAATTCCCAGTCTGGGCACTCATTGGGCCTACTCATTGCTACTGACTTGTCATTGCTACTAAGTCTTAAATGAATAGAGCTACTAGAAATAATAATAATTTGTATTATTTTATAAAGGGGAAAAAATCTGGAGTTTATATTTCCAATTCCAATTAAAGATTACATAGTCTTTATTTAACTCTTTGGTTTTATATTTTATTTCTTTTCTATTATGCTCTGTGTCTTTGTTCCTAATGGTTTATAATTACACGTTTACTGAATTTTTCTTTCTTTGTATACTTATATGACAATTTCATTATTGCTGCTAACAGACTATTGAATGTAGTCTAAGCTTCTTGGAAGTTCTTTTTGTCCTTAAAATGTATCCTGT